TTCCGTTTTTAAATCTGAAGAACATAATTCAGGCTATATCCCCTATAAATAAAATTCATATTGTGCCCTTTTTGTGGCCTGGACCCCTGCCCTCTAAAATTCCTAGTTGCGTCCCCGCATATATATATATATATATATATATATATATATATATATATATATATATATATATATATATATATATATTATATATATTGTGTATGTATATATATATATATTTATATTATATACGTGTGTGTATGTACATAAAACATATACAGATGTATGTATATATACACATACAATTATATACATGAATGTATGTATGTATATATATGTGTGTGTGTGTGTGTGTGTGCATATATATATATATATATATATATATATATATATATATATATATATATATATATATATATATATATATATATATATATGTACATAGATATAAAGGCAGATATATATATGCACATATATGTTTTTTGTATCTGTATGTGTGTGCCTGTGTGTGTGTGCGGGTGGGTGCATATATATGTGTGTGTGTGTGTGTGTGTGCATATATACATCTATATGCATATATACTTATCTATTTATTTATACATATATTTATGTGCGTGCGTGTGTGTGTGTGCATATATATATATATATATATATATATATATATATATATATATATATATATATATATATATATATATATATATATATATATATATACATATATATAATATATATATATATATATGTGTATATATTTGTGTTTGTTGAGTAAATTATATATATATATATATATATATATATATATATATATATATAATATATATATATATATATATATATATATATACATATATATATGTATATATATATATATATATATATATATATATATATATATATATATATATATATATATATTATATATATATATATTATGTGTATATATACATATATATGTGTGTACACACACACACGCACATATATATATATATATATATATATATATATATATATATATATATATATATATATATATATATATATATATATATACACATATGTACATATATATACAGATATGTACATATATATACATGTATATATACATACACATATATTTTTCTTCTCTCTTGTTAATTTTATTTATATATAAGTGATGAAGAAATGAATAAATATACATACATATACATATACTTAATACATACATACATATATATATGTTTGTATATAAATACATGTGTGTGTTTCTGTGTGTGCTTGCGTGTGTTAGTGTGTGTGTGCCACACACACTAACACACGCAAGCACACACACGCACACATATAGGCATGTGTGTGTGTGTGTTTTTACATGTGTGTATACATATATATACACACATCCATATATATATATATACATACATATATATACACACATACATATATACAGATACAGATATAGATATACCTCCTCAGGTGTCTCTCTCTGTCTTTCCCTCTCTGTCTAAAGGGGCGTGTCCTTTAGACAGCGGCGGCGACCTCCTTCGAGCGTAGATGATGTCCCTGCCCCTTGGAGTGTCAGATTCGCTCAGCCGAGGCACAGGAGGTCGAGTTCGCAGCGCACGGGGGGGGCGGGAATTCCTTGGAGTGTCAGATTCGCTCAGCCGAGGCACAGGAGGTCGAGTTCGCAGCGCTTGCTCGAGGGAGAGGTGTAGGTCCTCCGGAAGGCGTCCACCTTGGGTCACCTGGGGCGACGCAGCTCCTTCCTCCGGTGACGTAGACTCAGTAGGACTTCGACAGGATACTACCTTCGTTTCAGCCAAGGAAAGATGTGTGGAATGATGTCGTTTACATAGTTAATGGATGGCAGTGTTGATATGATGGTAATGTGGTGTGTTTTTGTTTTGTTTTTGTTTGTTTGTTTTTGTAGATTTTGATGGTGAGGTTGGGGATTATGATATTGATAATTGTGATGTTGATCTAGCTATTGGTTATAGATACATGTGGGTTTTCATATATATATATATATATATATATATAGAGAGAGAGAGAGAGAGAGAGAGAGAGAGAGAGAGAGAGAGAGAGATTCGCTGTTTTAAAAGCAGAATAATCTTAACAACGTTTGACGAATTCTTTTTCATCTTCTTTCTAAATCTCTTCCCTCAATATGTCAATATGTTTTTCCACGTGTAGACCGAAAGTTGTTCCAAACCCTAAAATAATGATTATTTTTCTTGCCATCTTTAAAGGTACAAATTCAAAACTTGAAATTTTCACATTTGAATAGATGACTGAATGTTCTTTGCTCTCGTCCCCTTTCAAGAAATTCTTAGCAGGGAAATGATTATGGAATGTACGCATCGGAAAGGTTTTTGTTTCCTTTTTTCGAGTAAAATCGGTTGATAAATGAAATCTAACATTTATATAAAAATGATAACTTTATTCCATGTTGAAATATGATTTAAATTATGTACATATGTGATTCTCTGTCTTGATTTAAGCATAGGCAGGAGTAGGGGGGACGTAGGCGGAGGGAGCGGGCTTG